TGGAGTGACTTGAGTGATTCTGGGCATGTTCCCAGGATGGCTTTAAACACCTTTTAAGTAGCCTGAATGTTAGCTCACCAATGCATATAACTGCTACTTTAGGGCTTTTGAAACTGAATTTGTCAAGCTTCTGGAAGACTGCTAGTCCTATGAGATTTAAACACATGAATATCACTCATTTGGAAAGATACAAACTTGTGCCCCAAAAGTAGCCCAATTGATAGGAGAGATGTGTGGCAGAAGAGCATAATTTGAAATAAAATTTTCAATCTGAGCTTCCCTGCCATGCATGAGATGTAATGGGTGTAATAAATTGGGTAAATCAAGAGAGAGCAATTATAAAATGTTGCAAGGGAGTGGTAGTATTTGGAGTAGCAATAGGTCACAATCAAGAGCATCTTAATCAATTCATGCCCTTCCAATGCTCTTATGTAATCTGTCACTCAAGCTAAAAGACAGATTTTCTATCATAACTCTCTTAATAGAAACTGCAAAGGAGCAGCAGTCATAACAACACCAAGCCAACAGCACTCTGAATGGAATGGGACAACTTGCTGCAGTCACCTTGCCATGGTCAGCTCACCATGGCCAACTTGCCATGGCCAACTTGCCATGGCCAACTTGCTGCAAGATAACTCACTATAGCTAACTCAACACAGGCCAACTAGCCACGGGACAATTCAACAATTTAATTATTTAAAATAATAATTTAAAAATAGTTTTTGTTATTCGCATTTCATCTTGTCTCTCCTTTGGCATCCTTTCTTTAATTATTCTGTTCCATCATTTCTTTGATATAGTTTCTTGTCATGCAGCAAGTTATTCTGCAGCTAGTTGCCACATCGAGTTGGCTGTGGTGAATTGACCATGGCAAGTTGTCCTAGACACATGATATGTTGTTTAGACTTCTGAGAATTACATGGATTAAACCAAGAAAACAAACAATAGATCATATAACATATCAATCCAGAATTTTCCCTTAAAATATAAACGTTCTAGTTCAATTTATCATACTTTGGACATCAACAAAGCTCTCTGGAGAAAGCTATGCTGGTAACTGTGGAAAGAAAAAGAAGAGGACAATTAGATGCAAGGTGGATAATTTGATTATAATGGCAATAGGTGCAGTCTTAGAAGACCTAAAGGGCTTGATTGGAGACAGGTCATCCTAGAGAAAGTCTATGTGGGCATTAAAAATCGATATCAACTTGATATAATACAACCAGTAATCAATCAGTATAGCAGAATATATATAAAGCTGTATTAACATAAAAAAATACACAGATATCTCTTGCTTGAAGAAATCTTCCATACCAAGTATACAGAGGTTGGCTAAACTATCTGAGTTTTTCACCTCCTGATCAGTAAAATCAGGTTAAGATAGTCCTACCTAAATATCATAATATCGGAACTAAATATAGCATATAGCTCTATAAAACAAGCAATTTGATTTCTTTTTTAGCACCAAAGGTGGGTACCAATTTGATTTCTCCCTTACCACCAAAGGTGGGTTGCTACTGGTTCACACCAGTTTGGGCAAACCGGTAGTGGAATGTTGGCCTGGGTCACAGAACCGGCAGTGATCCAGGCTGGCCACTCCTCCAAACTGATTCCATGGTCAACATTGCATGTTTTTTTCTCCTTTTTTAATGTTCTGCGCATGCACAGAACTATTTATAGGCAACTGTATATGCATGCACACACACAGCAAATCAGCAGTAACACTGGCAGCAACCCACTCCTGCTTACCACATGGGTAAACATGCTGTTGTTCTGGAATGTTGCAAAACCTGCCCTTCAAAAAAGCAGAGGGAGTACCAATATAAAAGCCCTTCCAATATATTTTGAAAAGTATCATATAATGGGTAAGTGCAATCATTTTCTTCCTTTTAGTCTCACCGGTATCATATATGCGGCTTGTTGCTTTAGGAATGATTCCATCTTCACAGATCAGGGGTGGGTTTCAAAAATTGTTCGAACCTACTCTGTGGGCGTGGCCTCCTTTGTGGGAGTGGCNCTATACTTTTCCACATACACTGGAAAAAAATTAGAGGGAACATTGCTCCAGAGGTCTGTTGTTCAGTGTACCACTGCACCGACTCATTATAAATGAATACACCTTTTCTCCAGAGGTGGGCTCCTACCTATTCGGTCCGGTTCGGCTGAATAGGTAGTAAACATCTGGTGTATTTTTCTGAACAGGTAGTAATTGCAGCCTACCCACACCCCCAAACTTGTTCCCTGGTCACTGCTCGCTCACCCCACCCCACCCAGTCTCTGCTCTGCAGCTTGCCTGCCTGAAGCACTGTGTCCCTGATCTGTCTGCCAGATAAGCATGCAAGTCGTGGCTTAGCTAGCTGCCCCTGCCCCCTTCCCCATGGCCCTGCCATGCCTCCCTGCATTCCACGTGGCCTTCCCGGTGTCCCTGTGGCCAGATTGCGAAGGCAAGCAAGTGGAAGGCTGCGTGGAAGGCAGGGAATAATGACAGGACTGTGGGGAAGGGAGCAAGTAGCCTACTCCCTTCCCCATGGCCTTGCCATGCTTCCCTGCCTTTCACATGGCTTTATCAGTGGTCCCCCATGCCCGCTTGCCTTCTGAGGTCGGCATCCAACCTGGCCTGGCCAATGGGTGGGTGGGCAGCCCTTGGTGGAAACGCAGACGCTGTGCTGGGGCTGAGAGAGGCAGCAGCGGTGATGCTGCGGGAGGGCAAGTGGACATCCTGGGGCTGCTGCACACGCACCCACTCTATTTCTGCAAAGGCAGAGCCCCCCATCCCAAGAAGAGAGGAGGATGCTGCAGAAAACACTGCCTTCCACTCGGGCCCACATGTCTCTCATGCTGGCTCTGTGGGGCTTCGGACTCCAAAGCAGCCCAATGGCTTCCCACCCATCCACCTGCCTGCTCCTCGGCCATGGCGCTGCTTACCACAGGTAAAGAAGTGGAGCAAGAGGCAGAAACCACTGGTGGGTGGGTGGGTGGGGCGAAGCCCCTCATGCAGGGAGAGGGATGCAGCTGAGTCCCCCCCCCCCCGAGCATTGGACTCCACTGGCTGCAAAGTGTGGAACAAGGGGCAGAAGCCTGGGATCAGGATGGAGATGGACGGGGCGGCGGGCATTGCACATGTGAACCCCATAACAGGCCTGATTCCAGGTGGGTGGGCACTGCTGTTACTGGAGCAGCATTGGCCCATTGGGTTCGGGGGCTTCTGCCCCTTGTGCCACACTTTGCAGCCAGCAGAGTCCCGTGCGGCCCTCTTCAGGATGCTGGCCTTCTTGGAGCAGCATTCAGCCCTGATCTATTCTATTCTTCTTTAGAGGAGCAGAGGCCAGAGCCATGTTGACCCCCCCTCCAGCCTCAGCTCCTCTGAAGAAGCGCAATGTCCGCTTCCTTCTCTTTGAGAGCTGCCTTGCAAAATGTCAGAAAATTCCCCATTTTGCAAGGAGGCTCTCAAAGAGAAGGAAGTGGGTGGGGCGCTTGTTCAGAGTAGCTGAGGCCAGAGGGGGATTCAACATGGCTCTGGCCTCAGCTGTTGCGAAGAACTGCCGCACCCACTTCCTCCTCTTTGAGAGTCGTCTTGTAAAATATGGAATTTTCTGACATTTTGCAAGCGGGCTCTCAAACAGAAGGAAATGCTGTGGCAAGCATTGTGTGTGTTTGTTTGTGTGTGTGTGTGTGTAAGGGGGACATGGACTGTTCACTGTAAAAGCAGTAGCAGGAAGGGGGTGGGGCAAAATGGGACTTCCGGTTTGCTCGTATGTCCATTTTTAGTCCTCCCGAGGCTTCAGGGAAGCCTCCTGATGGTCCCTGAAGCCTCTGGAGAGCCTCTGGGGGGCAGGGAGGCTGTTTTTGCCCTCCCCAGGCTCCTATAAAGCCTCTGGAGCCTGGGGAGGATGAAAAAAGCATGTAAAAAATGGGGGGAGCACCTCTCATGTGTGCATGCGCACTAGGGGTCGTGCATTGCATTATGGGTGTGGCACACCCATGCATGACCCCCCCCCCCCTTGTGGCACGCGAGCCAAAAAAGGTTCACCATCGCTGGGATAGGGCATAGCAAAACGTCTTCAGTTTTGCATATCCCATTCTTCAATACATCCAAAAACCAAGTTATTGTATTTGGTGATAGAGCACTGGAATTTGCTGATGTCTCCAGAGTGATAGAAATAGATCCTAGGGCTGTAGTTTGCTTATTTTGTTATAGGTCTTTACTTGGTTAATCAGGAATGGCAGTGCAAGACTTGAGGAAGAAGAGCTGGGGTGGGTTTCCCTTTTTTTTACTATCGGTTCTGTGGGCATGGCTAGGGGGCATCTGACTGAGTGGGCATGGCCAACTTGACATCATTCACGCACATGGAGTCATATTCCGCTCCCCACCTAGCCACGCTCACAGAACCAAGAAAATTTGTTTTGCCAGCTGAGAGGCGGGGGGGGGGGGATATGACTGCATGTGCATGAATGATGTCAAGTAGACCATGCCCACTCAGTCACATGCTCCCTTATCACTCTCTATAAACAAACTGTGAGGCTTTGAATTGCCAAGCCAGACTGTCCAGTGAGGAAAGTGAAAGTACTTTGTTCCCAATACACAAGCCTCCAGCCTCCGAGCAGTAGCACTAACTTTCCCTCTGTTGTTAAAATTCTCTTTGTTTCCTTCTTTTCTTTTCTTTTTATATTCCGTTAAAAAGTAAAAATCAAATTCTTGAGTAAAATAGAGGAGAAAAAGAGGAAAACACATGTAGTAGTGAGGAAGGAGAATTTTAGTCCATAGGTTTCAATAATAATAATAATAANGATTTTTAGCCATTACCTCTTGCATAGTCTGTAATATCATCTGAAGCTCCTTAGTTGAATTGGATCTTTCTCTCTGTAGCATATCCTCTGAAGATCTTTGGTTCGAAGGGCTAGCAGCTGCTAGAGATGGCTGGGATGCTGGCTTCCTCCCCAACTCCTCCAAACTTTCCATAGAAAAATACCCCGACAAACCCTAAAGGGATTGCCAGTTTTGGTGTGATGTATTGTATGTTGTAACTATATACATGTTATGGGGGGCTGAATGTCAGCTAGCTGGATGCCTGCTGCCATAAAATAGGGGGGAGTTTACATTACAGCTTTACAAGTGTGGTTACTTTCAAGGCCATGTCAGTTTGCTCTGTTATGCTGTGGCCTCTGATTGCCTAGCTACTGGGGGGCTGAATCTGTGCTAATCACACTCTGTGCCTCAGAGCTTGCTTCAGTTTGCTCCCAGTAAAAATACTTTTCTCTAAATCTATGGAACCAAGGATTTTTCTTTCCTAGGAATTGAACAGAGGCAGCCTTGACGCAATGTATTTTTGCCAATAGATATCCTCTTTATTCAGGTAAATGAGGAAACTCATTCAGATACTTTTCAACAGGTGAAAAAAGTTCTCCTTTGTGAATGGAAATAAATCCTACGTGTAAATAAGTAAACACAATGATCAAGAACCATAGTCAGAATCAAGCTGATGACTGACTCCCTGATGTTTCTATGCGAGTCTTTTGAAGAAATACTCTGGATTTTTTCCCCTAATGACCATGTTACTTGGGTGAAGATTAGTGCTGCAACCACTTCCTGAAATATTTCACTTTTCTTTCTATGCATTGGTACAATTTGTTGCAGCAAGTAGGTCAATTCTTTCCCCACTTTACTTTTTCTTCATTTTTACCTAATGTTTTTAATCTAGATATGTCCAGAAGAAAATTGTAGAAGAAATACAGCCAAGCAATTTAGTAATATATATTTTAACAAAACACATAAAACATTTTTGTTAGTTCCTTCATTGCTTCTTCTCTTATTGTATACATAGAATAAACTAAGGCAACTCTGCTTACTTTTGAGTTCAGCGCTGAAATGAAAGCAGGGATGCTAAAAACACTTTCATCTTCAGATGAACTATTTAACTATTTAGTCCAACAGATAAGGATATGAGTTTAACAAAAGCCACTTTTTGGGGTGATTAGCTGGAGAAGAAAGAAGACTGAAGGAAAATTGCATGCAACAATAAATTGAAACTTTGGCAGAGATTGAATGTTCCCAATGTGAAGTCTTTGTAATAAATTCTAAATGTAAAAGTATAGATATTTATTATTTGTAGCTAAGTAAATATAATGTTGCTTCTAAGCTTATAACCAGTTAAAGTGCAGTAAAGATCAAATTCCTTATAATACATTGCCATTACATTTTTTGTTAAACATGTATACATAGGTATATGTCTCATCATAAATATCTATATATCTATGTTTAAGTAAACACAGATGCACACACAAAACTCGAGGGATCAATGGATTATACTGATTAAACCTTCCCTGAGATGAATCTATTAAACAATCATGAACTGGCATACATAGAGCAACTGATCTCTGCATCTCTTGTCAAACCACTTTCCCACAGCCACTGCAGACAATGCTACACAGTTTTCTTGCTTCCCTCCATCAGGTTGGGTGGTGATTTCTGTTTCCCAATTCTTATAGCTAATGCTGCTGCTTGTCATGTCCACCCATTTGCCCTCCACTGCCAGGTCATTGATGCCAAGCCAAATTTCCACCTCATTCCCCAGGGTCTTCCTCACATAGTCATAGAGAGCATCATTTTCATCACCTGTCTGTGGTGTACTGAGGGTGCCACCCTGGGAAATGCAATCTTCATTCGCCTCATGATAGGTCTTAGCATGGGGAAAAGCCAGGACACATTTTAGGTTGATCTTTGTACCTTTCAGGCAAACTAATAAAAAATAAGAAAAAGGGGAGAAATAAAATATTATCAAAATTCCATATACGAGGACTTTTTTTTAAAAAAAGTTTTTTATTTTTTTCATTTCCATAAGAAATAACCACATGTATACTGTTACATAGCCAACATTATTTTATATTATTAAATATTAACATCAATTCGTCTTACCGTCAACCCCCAAAAATGATTATTGGGTCCTCTGCTCTCCATACACCATATTTGTATGGTGTCCTGTCCATCACTTTCTTCTCTCTCTCCTCCTCCTCCTCCTCCCTATCTCCTTTCTTCCCTCTGTTATCTTCTCTTCTCTACTTCCGCTTCCTCTCTTCTTCTCCTCTCTCCCCTTTCCACTTCTTTCTCTCATCCTCTTCCCCCCTACCATCTCTCCTTACCTTCTCTTCTTCCCTTACCACTCTCTCTCTTCCACACTCTTCATCTCATTTACTTGGTGTATTTCAGCCTCTGACCAAGCTCCATTTTATGTTGATGATATTTATAATTTCATGTCAATAAACATCTTTAATCTTAACATCTTTTTTTTGAAGAAATGAAGGAAAAAGTATACATATATAACAATTATATTTTTAAAAAACCCCATACACATATTTTTGGCCGGAATGTGGACCTGATTATAATTCCCAGCTATTCTCATCATAATATTGTATAGTTATATATCATTACCCACCCCAAATTTTTAATTCTGTCATTATAATCTCATTATAAGTATATTTCACGTTTCCCCTCCATTTTTCCATATCTTAACTTAGCTTACATTTAACAAGCAATACACATCTCACTTTGTTCATCTTCTTAAGAATTCTATGTGCATTCATATTTCATATATTTTAACCTATATTTAATTGTCTTCCCATTATCATATTCAATAAACTAATAACTCAGTTTAATTATTGCATAATATAATATTTCATATATTTTAACCTTTATTTAATTATCTTTCAATTATCTTGTTCAATCAGTTAGCAACTCAATATAATTATATGGTACAGGAGTAAATCACATGCCTCAACTTTATATTTTCCACATAGCAATTTATAAATATCTGATTTTTGTCCCAATTCTGTATTCCTGTCGCCCCCCTTTTCTTTGCTGAGACATGTCCACCCTTTTCAATTTTCCCCAAGCCACTGTCAAGCCCAGTGAACTCTTTTATTTGCTTATTATTTTCCACCATTTCTACCATTTCATTACCCACCCCTTTTCTTCCTTCATTTCCTGCTTCTCCTCAGATTCAAAATTCTGTTTAAACTTAATTTTAATGATTTATGCATATTTTTATAATTTCACACAATTCTTCAAATTCCCACCTTTCCACAATGTCCAGTTTCAAAGTTACAATTAGTTATACAGTTAATTATAATTTAAGTTTTAAATTTTCCAAGATTCTTTTTATTTCACAATTCCGGTCCAATTTATATTCTAATTCAGTTGAAATAGAGAGGTTCTGATCCAGCTATATATTTCACTTCAGCTAACATGGAGAGGACAAGAAGGGGGGGGGGCATCTTAATCACGTCACTTTCTTTGTTCTTTAGTCTTTCCTACAATGGGATTGTAGTGAGAGAGGGAAATGGAATGATTATGTATGGTATGTGTATGGTAAGATAGGGAGTGTACCTGAAATTTGCTTGTTTTTGATGTAATTTTTTTGCTCTGAGTATTTTCCTCTGGTGTGAGCTCATTTATTATCATCTTTAACCTTTGGGGAAGAAAATGTTATAGTAATTTGATGTTTGTTACTATGACCCCTCTTTTTTTTCCACTCAGTTTCTTTGTCAATTATTTGTCTCTGAACTTCCTAGTTTATTTTATGTGAATTAGGTGTTGAAGTTGAAAACTATGAGTTAAAGAATGTTTCAACATTTTGAAACCCACAATCTATCTCTGATTTATGCTGAATTTTTGAACAAACATTTATGGGTTGTTGTTTTTTTGTCTAATTAGCCCCAAACAACATAACAGCCATTTTCAGAAAATATCCATGAATCACTCAATATAGCAAATATATCCACTAGTCTAAATTTTTTGGGCCTCCTGAAATAAAACCTGTTTTTTTTTTATTTGTTCCACAACCAAGTCAATTTTGTGATCTAAAAAAGTTACAATGGATGGATTTTATACCTGTTTGAAGTGCTTGCTTTTCCTTTAGTAAGGCCACCTCTTGGGAAAGATTCTCTAGTTGCTCTTTAATGTCTTCAATCATTCTGAGGCTTACAGCATCTATTAAGTCAGTAACAAGATAAAGTTTAACATCTGATTGCAACTAATGACTGCATTCAAACTGATGAGTAGAATGAGAACTTCCTCCTCTGTTGACGAGTAACCTCAAGTGAAAAGAAGCAAATTATGTGTACTTGTCCTAAATTTGTATACTCATATACTGTATGTTTTATAAAGTTATCAACTGAAAATATTTCATACATCAGAAACAAAAACAAAATAGCTCCCTCTTTTTACTGCATAGGTTTTTTTAAAGAATGAATTAAAAAACAGCAATTCTAATTCCTTGTATATGTTGTCTGCTCTTTCTTATAAATTTATTTTACCAAAATAACATATATTTCTCAAGCATTCCCATTTGGTTTTAACAGTATATTATGCACCATATACAATTATGTAATTTTCTTCCTTCTATTAATGTCATTGTATAATTCTGCAGACTGTAAAACTCAAGATTCTTGTGTAAATCAAACCTTGTTTACATGTACTTTACTTCTGGTTGCCACAAGTTTTAAATCACAATATAACTCCCCTAGGTTTCAAATTACATATAATCTACTGATGCACAACAGCTAAAGTGGGGCTTATTGTTACGTAACTCACCATCTCACAATGAGGGAGAAGTTAGTAGTCTCTAATTAACTAGACTTTCAGGAAACTTAAGCTTCTAATTAACATTTAGATACTGTAAACAGCATGAAAATATAGTAACTGAACTGTTTCTGATGGAAGATCAACAACCATATATAAAAGTTTGCCTACCACAGTGATTTGGAATGTTCCTAAGCATCCTCCTTTATTATGGGCTTGTAGAAAAGTGACTTTTGAAGAAGAATATATAAAAGACAGTTCTGAAATGTAGTAAATATCCTCAAACCTGACTATTTTGTTTAATGTTATCATAATAAAGTGATACGGTCAACTCATTTCTGTCTCATGTTGTATTTAAGGTTCAGTTTTCATTATGAGAATTAAAAGTGCTTTACACATGGGAAAAAAAGCATATGAGAAGAGGATCAATGCCAATGGTTCTTTAGGCACTGGTCAAATTCAATGTAATCAGTTAGTCACAGTCATCACAATGTCAGCCTTGTTTTAAACTGTGTTCTTCTTGCCTCTTTATGTAAAACTATTCTAGCATTCTAGTATTTCAGTTTAATTAATGTAATTGCTAATAATCAGAAAAGTATTCAATGTTGACATCTCTTCCAGAGCAATGTTCCCTCTAAGCTGTGCGGGTGCGTGACCGCGCATATGGCAACAAAACACCATGCAGCAGTTTCCAACTGCCGCGCAGTGGTTTTTGTGAGACGCCTTCCATGATAATAGGAGAGGAGAGCCAGCCTGGAGACAACAATCAGTTTTAGGTCCACAAGGCAGAAAGTAGCTGAGTGAAAGGGTGTGGGGGTTGGGAGAAGGCATGGAACGGGCTCCCAGCAGCNAACATTCTATAAACAATAAATAAATAAAAATTCCCTAAAATAATTAAAAACCACCACGTTCAGAGAACATCAAAGGTGTCCTCTCCCTCATCTTTTTCTTTTTTTGTCTTAACTTTCTCCTCCAAGGCTGCAGGCACCCAGGGATGGGGGCAGGGGGAAATGCTGCCTATCTGTCCCCTCCCAAAGCAACCTTGCAGGTTTTCAAGATCACCCGGAGAGGCCTTTTTTAAAAAGAAAATCCTGAAAAGCCACAAGATCTGGAGAGACGGGCAACCAGTCTTTTGGGGGGGCAGGGGGGGGGAATCCCCAGAACCAGGAGCACAACCCACACAGCTTATTCAAACAGCAAAAGAAAGGGACAGGAGAGGAGTTCGGCTGCTTGAAAAGCCCGGTTTGGAACTCCTCTCCTGTCCCTTTCTTTTGCTGTCTATACATGCAGTGCGGGTTGCGCTCCCTTTTCTTCCATAGCCAGCTCGTTTCCAATTGGCGAAGGGGGGAAGAAATCGATTTTTTCCGTCCCTCTCCATGGATCCCCACCCCAATAGGAAACGAGCTGGCTATGAAAGACAAGGGAGCACAACCCGCACAGCTTGTTCAAAGAGCAAAAGAAAGGGACAGGAGAGAGAGAGAAAAAAAGAAAGGGACAGGAGAGGAGTTCGACTGTTTGAAAAGCCCGGCTTGGAACTCCTCTCCTGTCCCTTTCTTTTCCTGTTTCTACATGCCAAGCGGGTCGTGCTGCCTTGTCGGCAAGGGCGCTTTGCAGCGACAGGGGCCAGGAGTGGTACCGGCGTTCCCGGAAGTTAATTACTTCTGGATTCACCAACCATCCGGTTCGCATGAACCGGGGCGATCCGGGAGGAACCCACCCCTGTCACAGATAAACCTTTTGAACTGTTGCCATAAGAGTTTACAGTAATTGCTTTAAAAGTAAAATCTACAAAAAAAAATCAAGAAAAGGATGGTCATCTCTATTGGCCCTTATGTGCAGCCTTTCAGAGGCATGTCATCATCCTAATTAGATTCTGACTTAAAACTAAATATTTTAACTCTCTGTACTGGGAAGGATATTTTATTTTATCTTAAGTTTTAATGAACTACTGAATTACTGGGCTTATGTATAAGACTATATACCAAGCAAGAGAAATTATATATTTATGGAACAAAGGCTGAGCTTTTTGTTTAACAGATGTTTCTGTTTATGGCTGTACTGGATACATGACAATGAAAACGTGGCAGCAACTGCACAGTTACACATGGAAATTTCCACTAACCATAATGGCAACAGCTGCTACGGTAAACAAGTCCAGCCATGGGTCAGACAATAATTTCAGTTCTATGAGCAGGCAATTTGGAGAAACATACCCATAATTTCTGTTAGATAGACTGAATGTTGGTACTTACCTGAACATTGTTTCTCGTGACGTCTGTGGGGAGGTGCTACTGGTAAGTGCCACTGGTGGTCCATAGACTGAGAGAAAGTGTTGCAGCCACACCTCTACTCCTTCTGCCCCAGTTTCCTCAAGGTCGTGTGGAGTAAAATGATCTACTAGGGTGGGATGTGGCACCTCCCGCCGATGTCATGAGAAGTGATGTTCAGATAAGTACCAATGTTCATTCTCCATGGCATACTGTTGGAGGTGCCACTGGTGGGACCTACCCACGCTATCATCCACAGGATGGGAAAATACGAATCCATAGTGGCTGTGGAGGTCACTACCTGCTGCAACACCCTGCGTCTGAAGGACACTTCTGCTAACGCATAAGCATCTAGATGATAGTGATGTATGAAAGTTATAGGGGAAGCCCAAGAGGCTGCCCTACATATGTCCTCAAATGGAGCTCTTGGTGCCAAAGCCACCATCGTGGCTGCACTCCTAGTTGAGTGGGCGATGATGCCCTGAGGTGGGGGGCACCCTTTTTTCTCATAAGCTAAGGAGATGGTCCTCTTCAGCCATCGTCCTATGGTAGTAGACATGACTCTAGCTCCCAATGTGCTGGTTGGAAAGACACCAGCAAGGCCTCTGATCTATGAATGTTCGCTGTTCACCTCAGATAAATTCTCAGTGCTCTATGGACATCTAACCTGTGCCAGAGCCGCTCTCCTGCGTGGGATGGAGCCGGACAGAAATTAGGTAAGACTACACTTTGAAGGAGGCCTTGGGACTTCCCTTGTGGTCTTTTTGCGGTCACACATACAGGACAACTGACTATGTAGGACTCAATGTCTTTTTTCAGGGAAGGCCACCAAAATTGCTTCTTAATCAAATGCAAAGTTTTTACAAATCCAAAATGACCCACCATTCTCGAGTCAAGGACCCGTTGAAGGACAATTTTTAGGCTGTCAGGAACATACAAGCCAGTCCATCTTTCATGATGCATTCATCAGAATGTTTTTTGAACCAGTCATCGGACTCGAGACCTTTCTTAAGTTTGTCCATTAGGTCTGTGGTCACATCTAAGTCCACTGGCTCCTGGCTCCTAGTAACCATTGGCGCAGCCAGGTTCTTAGCCAGGATGACTGGATGAACCACGGTTGGTCTGGTGCTGTTGTATTGAGGAAGCCTTGACAAAGCATCGGTCATAAAGTTCTTCCCTCCTGGGATGTATTTTAGGGTAAAGATGAACCGGTTGAAATGCTGTGCCCAGCGCACTTGTTTAGGTGATAGCCTCCATCTTCAATGCTTCCAGGTTTTTATGATCAGTCCATACTTCAAAAGGATGTTTTGCCTCCTGCAGGATATTTCGCCAGGTCATCAAGGCCCATCTGACAGCAAAAGCTTCCTTTTCCCATATGGCCCACTTTCTTTCTGTTTCTATAAGCTTACATGAGGTGTAAGTGCTAGGTTGCAATTTGCCTTCCATGTTTGTTTGTAGCAATACTGCCCTCAAAACTGCATCAGCTTGAATCACAAATGGTACATCCATATCTGGGTGTTTTAAAACAGACTCAGCAGTGAACAATTGCTTCAATTTCTCGAAAGCTGCTTGACATTCCATAGTCCAATTCAGAGGCTTACCTGGCCTAGGTTTAACCTCTCATTTTGATTTTAGGATATTTGTAATTGGCAGTGCAATGCTCACGAATGAGGGGATAAATTGGCGATAGAAATGTGCAAATCTCAAAAAACTTTGTAGTTGCTTGTGGGTGCGAGGTGGTGCCCACTCAGTGACAGCCTGGACTTTTGCCAGGTCCATCTCAATACCTTTGTGGGAGATACAGTATCCCAAATAATCGATCCTCCCTGGGTGAAATTCACACAGACAATTTGACATAAAGTACAGCAACCTGGAGTTTTTGAGAACCGAGCGTACCAAAGTCACGTGTTCATCACGTGTTTTCATGTTGATAAGGATGTAGTCAAGGTAAACCAACACTCCCTTGTACAGGTGTTCATGCAAGACTTCATTTATTAACTGCATGAAGACTGCTGGCACCCCCTGAAGTCCAAACAGGAGTACTTTAAACTGGAAGCATCCCAAAGGGCAGTTGAAAGCAGTTTTCCACTCATCTCCCTCCTTTATTCTGACTCTGTAGTATACTTTCCTTAGGTCCAATTTAGTGAAAATTTTCCCTTTACCCAACTGGGTCAACATGTCCTTCATGAGTGGCAGGGGTATACATTTTCCATGCATATGGCGTTTAGATTTTTATAGTTCACGCATAAACGAAAGGAGCCATCTTTATTTTCCCTGTGATTTAGCCAGTTGTATGAACCCCCTTTTAAATTTTTTGTCAATGAACTTTCATAATTCCTCCATCTCACGTGGGGTCATCAAATAAATCTGGGGCTTAGGGAGTTTTTCCCCTGGGAGGATTTCAATGCTGCAATCAGTGGCACGGTGGGGGGGGGTGTAGTTTGTTGGAGGCCCTTTCACTTAAAACCCCCCTAAGGTCCCAATATTCTTTGAGGATTTTCTCTTCTCCTTCAATCTTTTCCTGCACTGCAGCAGCTAGGTTCATTTTAGCATTGGCTATGTGGGTCATCCTCCCCTTCAGGGGCTTTAGCGGAACAAATGTGTAATCACCCTTTCCTCCAGTTCACATAAGGGTTCCATTTCCATAGCCATGGCAATCCCAATATGAGGGGCCAATCCATCTCAGGTGCGACGATGAAACTCAGGGTTTCTTGGTGATCTCCCATCCACATTTCTATTGGTTCAGTTACAAAATGGGCAGGGGCACCCCCAGTGATTGACCCATCCAGCTGGCAAAAGGCAATGGGCACTTTCAAAGTCCTCAGTCTTAAACCCATTTTCTCCACCACCTCCAGGCTGATTATACATCGGGTGCACCCAGGGTATAAAA